GTAGCCACTTGTTCTACCTTGCCCTTCATTCATTTCTCAAATACCTGAAAGGCTTTTATTACAGTTAGCATTTCTAATTTGTTTACATGTAGGAGTTTGGGTTTTGGATCAATAAGCAGGAATATGGGAATTCTTAAAGCTCTTTTCCATCCTTACTCTGTTTATAAACAATTATTAGCCAGAAGTAAACAGTCAAATACTAATTTAGCTAACTTGTACCCTAGACAGAGAGTTTATTGCCAGAAACGTATCCCCTACTTCAGCTTTTAAGAGCCAGGTTATAAATGTCACTATATTAAGTAATTCAACACACTACTTGACTGACATGGCCAAAATCCTATTGGGTAAATATATGCCTGTGCAAACTGATGTCACCAGATGGAGACTTTTATCACTCATTAAAAGTTCTTATTCCGACTCTCCCCCAGGTTCTGAGGCTCCTTCAGGATCCTCTTTGACCTGAGAAAGCCTTGGGACAGATGGAGAGAAGCCTTTAATGCCTGGAAGTCACAAGCAATGGTCATCATGAGTGATAAAAGCAGGTGGCTGATCATCATCAGCTTGCACAGGCATACAATTACACAATAGGATTTCAGCTATTATTTTCACTAGAGAACTACTCACTAGCTAGCACTGAGAAAAATGGAAGCTACATTTAGCTAATGTCAAAGCTGTGTTGTAAGAACAGGAAATCTGTGTGAGACACTTTTGCATACAGTTGTGATTTTAATTGCTGCTAGGTTATGATTTTAGAGTGGGTGTGAATGAGCAATCATTCTACCAATAATCACGATGTTGTTTATTTACAAAGGAAGTACAAGTAAGTTAAATTGAAACTGAAGTAAGTTAACATTTGGGGGTTAACAGTAGACGAAACACTGAATAAAATATATCACCAATATCACACATACTTACACAAAGTTTATTAAAAATTTATATTTTTCACACACAGTTTTCAAAGTGCTACCAACATTATTCAGAAATAATTAAAGCAACCTTCCTCTTTATAAGAACTATGTTTTTTGATCTCTAGAATCATAGAACTATGTAGTTGCAAACTACTTCAAGGCTCCTTCCTGACACAGACAATCCAGAACTTACCGGTAAGATCTGACAGATGGCCATCCAGTCTCTCCCTGCACCTACCTTCCAAGGAAGTGCAGACCACTGTCAAACTGCCCCTACTGTAAGGAAACATGTCTTTACATTGAACTGAAATCTTTTTTCTTGTAACTTGAACCAATTTGTGCAGGCACTACCCTTCACAGCAGTCCAAAACAAGTTTGCGCCATCATTTAGGCAAACCGAATAACTGAAAATGGCTAGCAATTCAGCACACAATCCATCTTTTTCCAGGCTAAACACATTCAACTCCCTCAACTGTGTTTTTCCTGACTTTGTTTTCAGACTACTTCAATATCTGTGGCATCTTTTCTACAAAGTTCAGTTACAGCCCAATAGTTTCAACTGAAGTAATTTTGAAGAACTAGACTGGGATCTTGTTCAGCTAAATCACATGAGCAGTGACATAGCACAAGCAGTTTTATTTCTACAGGATTTGCAGAGGAAGTATCCAAGTCCTCTTTGTTTAAGCACTAATTTAGCTATTTGTAACAAGATCTCAGTTTCCATAAGGCCAATACTTGTGCTAGTGGGACCCCAAGCCATTACGTCAGCCTGCTTTATGGCACACGGTATAGCGAATGATGTATCTAAAACTGATGCTGCATCAAAAATGTGAACAGCTGTAAGTCCACTTTCTCCAGCCCTGTTTCAGTTCCATATCCAAATCTGGACTGAATCTGTAAGTTTATCCAGGTGTATAAACAACATGAAAAGTTATCAAGGCTTGAAAGTGAACACAATGAGGGGAAAAAGGAGAAATGCCACAAATTATCTTATCCAATGTTATAAAATAATTGAGACAGGAGTATGTTACATCACAACATTGTTTATTATGTGACTTTTTACAATACAAACAAAAATACAGAAATGCAGTATATGAATACAGCTAAATGCAAAATGGTGACTTTTCTCAAGAGGCCATGATTCTCATTTCTAGAAGACAGACTGCACACAGGTAGAAACAGCTTGGTAATTAACTCCACATTTCTCTAGAAATGACCTATAAATGCATTTTCCTGCTACTTACCATAAAATGTAAAAAGGGAGTTAAAGGAAAGTTTTATTCACTGGTTCCTACCGTACTGGAAAAAAAAACCTACATTCTATTTAGCAGGGCCAATATATGGAAAAATATCTAAATTATATGTTATTACAAAAATGAAGCAGTAGTGAAACTCTTTTGGCTAAAGTAGTTACTAAATAAGAATAGCATATATTTAAAGAATCCAAAACAAAAAAAGGTTTGTTATAAAAAGCTTTTAGGTGCCCCATAAGCCTACTCATTTGTCTTTCCATGTGTACTTTTAAACAATGGAAGTGTCAAAAATAGGGTCAACTGTGTTAGACTAAATTACATTATTATATATGCTGCACTGAATCAATTTTTTTTAATAATAGAAGCTTACTTCATATTATATTATGGCAATGTATCCTTATGGAAAACCTTCCCAACTCCTTGTATACTGAAATATCCTGTAAACAAATCAAACCACTAGAATATGATTGTACAACACTAAATGTTATTCTGCATAAAAAAATGACTTCTGGTTTTGTTTTGCTTTTTTAAAAGAGTACTTAGAACCGTTTTGTTTTCCCAAGTACACAACACTCTAAACAATTCAAGGCATCTCAAGTGCCATCAAAATTAACATTTTTTGTCATGCTGTTAAATCCATAGACATGGATACAACTGGTGCAAGATTGGTCAAACATATCCAACACACACGGATGTCCAGGCTGGAATATTGGCAACTAAAACATAAATGGTGGTCAGTAAATATATTTAAAATATCTTCCCTTTCTTTTTGTTTTTTTCCAAAGTTCTGTAAAAGATAAAAATAAAAACAAGATTGAATCAGATGTATTTAGAGGTGTGATTTTGTTTTTAATTAGCATGACATAATACAGCAATCTGCTATACTTTTCAGTCACAATCTGATGCCATCTTAAAATATCTATAGAACAAATACGCACCTCTCTAAGCAGTTCAGTAGTCTGAGATAAGAGGAAAAAAATCTCGTGTCTCAAATCAAAGTTCTCAGATCCAAATGTGAGAAATATAGTGGCAAAATATATTTATAGTGTGAACTTTTCAGAGCAAATGCATAGAGAAGACAGTTATTTGTCAAGGCAAAATAAAGAACCCAACACAATATACTATTTTATCTAAATAGGGTAGTATCTATACAATATGTACAGATAATCAGATATTCAAGAAATTGTGAGCACCCCCCACATACATTTCACAAATTTCTTGTATTTTAAGACCTAGAACTCAAAAATACCAATACATCCAAGTATACTTAACAAATGTGATATTGTTTAAAAATTGTTGCCAAATGTTTTACACTAAGGTTTTCACAAAAACAGCTGCTTTTGTGCCAGAAAAATAGTGGTGCCTCGCTTAGCGATGTTGATTCGTTCCAAAAAATTGCTGCTAAGCGATTTCATCGCTAAGTGAAACACGGTTTGCCATTGAAATGCATTGAAAACCGGATAATCCGTTCCAATAGGAAAGAATTGCTGTCCTTAAGTGAAAATCGCCATAGGAAACATCGCTAAGCGAAATGCGGTTCCCCAATTGAAATGCATTGAAACCTATTCAATGCATCTCAATGGGGGAAAAATACAACAACAAATTAAAGAAGTCAGAACAAAGTCAAATTTGGTTAACAAAGGGTGCACTTTATGATTTCAAACATTTTAAACAGTAAACTTTAACTTTATAAATAACAGAAAAACATTTAAAAAACAGCAAACATGAGGCTGTTTAAACCATCGTTAAGCGAAACAGGGGACCTAAAATTTAATCGCTATGAGAAGCATGGTCCCAACCATCGCTAAGCGAAAATCGCCCATAGGGACCATCGCTAAACGAAGCACAAAAACGCTCTGAAAAAGTCATCACTAAGCGATTTCGTTGCTAAACAGAGTGCCTGTTAAACGAAGCACCACTGTACTTTATTCATGAAATAAAGCCTGAAAGAGTACCTAGTTTAGAACTTTCAAACACATTTATGTGCCTTGCTTGGACAGGTAATGAAGCAGTGCATCTGATGCAAGCTGAACACCCTATGCAGCGTCTTTTCTTGATAAAATGTCACCAACATTCCCTATCGTATTTCCTACCACACACCTATTGTATTTCCTTTTTACTCCTGGTTCTTCTACAGAGCTTTCTGAATGCTGGTCATGACACTGACCATCTACTTAAAGCAGACAAATCTTCCGTACAAAATTTAAACGAACAATGTTATACTATTCAATATAATATCAATTCTTTTGTTTAACTAACTTCATGAAATAACCCCTATTCTAAACTGAACAGCAGTGAAGCTATAAGGACTGAACATGGCTGGCCAATAAAATGTGTTAGGAATTTGAATCCTTGGTAGGGAATTTGTGAAGATACATTTTGAAAGAGGAGTGACAATCCAATACATACATGGCAGATGTCACTGAAATGGAAATGGAAAGAGACCAAAGCCAGGAAGATGGCGTCTCTAGTTAAACACCATCACAGCCAAATAGCATCTCTTTCAAACTAAATGTGGAAATATTTCTAAGGACTAGTTCTGACAACACTAATATGTTCACTGCTTAAAATGCAACCACACCATCTGTTTCAGACCGTGTTACAGTTACAGCACAGCTTTGAAAAGTCTATTTTGTCTACTACCCTGAGAATCCCTCGGCCAGCACGGCTGTGTGTGTGTGTAAGAGTCTGGGAATTACTGATAGCCATACTTCTCCAAACTCTGTAAATATCTAAAATCCAACATTCTGCCTAATAACGACATAGTAAATTCCCAGATAACATCACAATGATCATGGGATTTTGGCCATACTACAAACATCTGCTGTGAGACCCCTCATTACCTTGAAGAATTTTGTTGCTCCAAAATACGCTGCTGGGCTTCCCAGTTTGTCTTTTCATCCTCAAATTGGCGGCGTTTTTCCTCTAGTTCTTTGTGCTGGGCCTCCAAGTTCTTTTTCATTTGCTCATGACGTCGCTGGAGCTAGGAAATAAGAATGTAGAACATGTTATAGTAGTCATCTATGAGGACAAGGATTCACCATTGTGCCAGCAACTGATAAAAAAACAGTTGCATTACTACAGGCCCTTTAGTACTGGCACACACTTCTCTTACAAGAGAGATCTGCTTATCCTTTCATCTGACAGTGTTTGAGGTAACTTCTGAAGCTGAAAAGACAAGATATATTTTCATTTTTTGATGTAATAAATCAACACACTGTGTTGATGCAGACCAAGCTGGTTGCATTTAAATGTCACTGAGTTCAATGGAAATCGGGACAAACCATAATTAACTTCCCACATTCATGTTAACCAGAAGTAAGCACATTTCTTTTTCTAGACTCAACCAATAGGAAGTGGTCCCACTCTAGATAGTGGGATGGAGGGTAGGGAAAAGTGGTTAATTGAAGGTGAAGACATCTGTAGATGGAGCCAGGGCTCAGGACAAGCCATGCTAGGCAGAGTAACTTCAATATTACATTGGACAGTTTTTAAAAAGAACTTGTTGACCTCTATTTCTTAGTCAATCAGTTAATAAAACTGAAGATAGCAAAACCTCTGTGTTCTTTAAAGCAACTGAAAGACACAGGGAGAGATACATCTGTAAATTTCCATTTCTCTCGGTATCCCACTTTCCCAATCTTATGGCTTTGGAGTCTTTTTTTTTTTTTACAAGCCTGTACATACTGCTCCTAGTACTGTTGTGCAAAACACTGCCTCACATATGCTTTTTTGCTGATAATTTCCCCAATATAATGAATTACTGTACATTCTTTTCACTGAGGTAATGTTGCTTTTTAGTCATTTAGTTGTGTCCAACTCTTCATGACCCCATGGACCAGAGCATGCCAGACCCTCCTGTCTTCTACTGCCTCCCGGAGTTTGGTCAAATTCATGTTGGTAGCTTCGATGACGCTGACCAACCATCTCATCCTCTGTTGCCCCCTTCTCCTGTTGCCATCACACTTTCCCAACATCAGGGTCTTTTCCAAGGAGTCTTCTCTTCTCATCAGATGGCCAAAGTACTGGAGCTTCAGTTTCAGGATCTGTCCTTCCAGTGAGCACTCAGGGTTGATTTCCTTCAGAATGGATAGGTTTGTTCTCCTTGCAGTCCAGGGGACTCTCAAGAGGTACACTTTGCACTAATATAGGCACTTGCATTTTCTCGTAGAAAAGCACCACAGAATTCCAAAATATGTACATGTACATATAAAATTGTGTTTTAGTTCAGGAAGCATAAATCTGATACATTAGATTTATGAAATTGTGAAACAAATTTCTGGCGCCGACACTGATGACATTTTGGCGCCAGGTCAAAACCTTCCTGTTCCAGAAGGCTTTTAACTGAAATAACATCAACTGTGGGTCCTGATGGCAATTTTAGAGTATCTATTTTAATTGTATTTTAATCGTTTTATCTTTTATTGTATTTTAATTGTGTTTTACTTATTGTAAGCTGCCCAGATACCTTTGGGTAGAGTGGGCGGCATATAAGTTAAATAAATAAATAAATAAATAATAAATAGTATGAAGCCTACTGCTTACTAGTGCTGATTTAAGGACCCTACAAATTACCAAACTAAAAAAATTAGGTGACTGGTACAGAAATGAATGTGCTTTAACCAAAAATATATCATTCTTATTTAATTTGTACCCAGAACGCAATTCAAGAGGTTTCACAGTAATTCTGCAAATCTCAAGGCAATATGGGTGCATTCTTTTCAAAGAACAGCCTTTAGAGTCAGAGAGCAAACCTTTCTTGAGTTTCAAGCACAGCTTGCAAGATGGTTTTGAAAGGAGATCAGTTTTGAAATACTGAAAGACTAGTCGGCATTTAGAAGTCCTTGGGCATATCTCAGTGGGAATTGTCAGCACATAGGAATAGAGATTTATTGATTATTTCTTGGACTTCCTTACTATTCTATGATTCTATTTAAATTGGGATAAGCAAACTCTGTACTGTGGACTCTTTGTGACTCCCAAGTCATTTCTGTATGCCGAGGGTGGAAAAATAAACACAGCTGTGGTTTGGTGGTACAATATTTGGTAACAAACTGTAACCACTATTGTGGTCTGCTCTTTTAAAAGATTTTTTATTCCACTTGATTAATTAATTCTTTCATGATTATCTGCAATTTCATTTTTAAAAATGGAACTGGCTGTAGTGTGTCCTAATATTTGCTGATGGTTTATGATCAGGCGGGTTTCCCTTTTGTCGTGTCTGTACTATCTTATCTATGCTCTGCTTTTTGATGCTAAAGAATAACTGTCTTCCAGCAACCTACGAAATGCAATATATTGTATCCTGCTGGAATTACTATCGTTCCTGCTGCCAGTAACTGGGAGCTTCTGCTGCCTCATAAATTATGCTGCAGTACAACCAATGAAAATGAATGTATGATAAATTAAAATAAATAATATTGATGGATTTTAAATAAATTAGTAATTCAGATGTTAACTAGACATTAATATAGGATTAGGTTTAACAGGATTTACTGGTGGAATTCACTACAATTATTAATTTATTATGGGAACAATGGAGATGAAAGATGAACTAAATTGTTTTCTTTAGTTAAAAAGCCCCATCCACTTCTGCTTAGGCCATATCCCTCAGTAGTGTTCCTGTCCAACAGTCTGCCAAACTTAAAAGTGGCCCTCTCCTCTTCAGAACATGGTTCATGGAGCATGCTAATATAAATATTAGATTAGGCATCCTTCAGTCTCGAGAGGGCAATGGTAACATGCTCTGTATGGAGGACTTGAAACAGTGTCGAGTGTGGCTGAGAAGGCCAATTCAAGAGTGACAAACCCTTCCACACTGAAGACAAATTGTACAATCTGTCCCCTGTCCAGCTCCCTGATTTTGCTGCTTTTGGGACTGCCTCTTTGCCTCGGCCTCCTGGACAAGTGTCTTTTCAAAATGGGAGAGGCCGTGATACACCGCCTGCCTCCAGGCTGAACGCTCAGATGTCAGGGTTTCCCATCTGTTGAGGTCCATTCCTAAGGCCTTCAGATCCTGCTTGCAGATATCCTTGTATAGCAGCTGTGGTCTCCCTCTGTGGCGATTTCCCTGCACTAATTCTCCATACAGGAAATCTTTTGGAATCTGACCATCAGCCATTCTCACGACATGCCCAAGCCAATGTAGATTTCACTGTTTCAGTAATGTATACATGCTAAAAATTCTAGCTCGTTCTAGGACTACACTATTTGGAACTTTGTCCTGCCAGGTGATACCAAAAATCCGTCGAAGATAACGCATATGGAATGTATTCAGCTTCCTCTCCTGCCATGCACAAAGGGTCCAGGACTCACTGCAGTACAGGAGTGTGCTCAGGACACAGGCTCTTTAGACCTGGATCTTGGTACATGCCACCAACCTCTTATAACAAAATCTGATTGCACTGGAAATACATTTTGCAGGTAGTTATTTAATGAGTGACAGTTTCAAAGCACTCATGGACAATCTTCCACAGTACAAATATTCACATTTACAATCTTTTTTTTGGTTCAGATGTCAAAATTAGTATAAATATATTTATCTGTACCTCAGCTTCGGAGTCCTTCAATTTCTGAACTTTTTCTTTGACCTTCATTTCAAAGACTTGCTCCATTTCCATCTCCATTTTTTTCATCTTTGCCACATGCTCTCTCCGTTCTTCTTCCATTTGTGCCAGAGGGCTCCTGCCATAAACCAATAATGGTTGATTATTCCACTTTCTTTTGTAAATACAGTATTAGTAAAAAGTCAGCAGACAAAAACAAGAAGGAAGCAAGCAAGTGAAATAACCCTCAGGTAGCAGGTGCCTAACAAATTAATGATGTTGTTCAAAATCCCTTATCCTATTATTGCTTTTGTACATCCACAAAGAGGATAAAACCACAGGGGAAGGTTGATGTACCATTTACAGTGGCACAAATTCCAGGGAAAGGAACACTGTGAAGGAGAGAAACACCGCACTGACATAGCAAGCTTTTAATACCACAGATCTGTCTGGTGCATATCTGACAAATTCTGACATATTATGAACTTACTCATCCAAGTGTTACATAGTACATTTTTTTTCAGTGAAGGTTGTTTGGGATACAATAACCTACATTTCTACTACTACCCTGTTTTCCCAAAAATAAGACCTAACCTGAAAATAAGCCCTAGTAGGATTTTTCAGGGTGCTCATAATATAGGTCCTACCCCCCAAAATAAGCCCTAGTTAAGTGAAACCTCGCCCTCCACCATTGTGCAGCAACCAGAAAAAGATGACATGACTGTATTTGAATAAATGTAGATTGTTGTACATGAAGAAAATAAAACATCCCCTGAAAATAAGCCCTAATGCATTTTTGGATCAAAAAAATAATATTAGACCCTATCTTATTTTCAGGAAAACAGGGTATAATAATGTTATTCTATTAATCTACACACTTTCATTTCTACATTGTGTTTGGTTTACTGTGCTGAATCTCTTGCACTTATTGACTGAACTGATGTGATGGCCTGGAATAGTGTGGAACTAATGAAACAAAGTAACTTACATTCAGAGTCTGTAAGAAAAAGGAAAGCTTCAATCTGGCAGGGATCAAAGCTTCATAGCAGTGGCAGGTTACATCCTCAAAAGAGGTCCGTGATTTACAGATGGTGAGAAAACATAGTTGAAGATCAAAGGGAAGATACAAAGGAGGCTAGACAGGAGAAGCCTCAGGAAGAGATATCTGAAGGAAAAGTAGATACACTAGGCAGAGGACTAAAATGGTATATTTCTTGAGGAAAGAAACTGGGAGGAAGGAGAAGGTTATGAAATGGGGATCAGGCTGGGAAGAAGACACAATGCATTTTGTTAGGTATAAAGCCCAGGTTCAAGCTGGGGAAATCTCCCAGTTGTGGCTACAATGGGCAGCAGCAGCCCAAGGGATGCACGAGGACAATCGAAAATAAGATGTATTAATAGGAGCAAATGAATTAATTTTTGATTTGAACCAACCAGTCAGTCCTATGGGTGCAAGCTTCTACCAAACGAATCACATTACAAAATACTTTAAAAGTTTTCAACTGTCTCAGTGCAGTATTAGGATTCTGCGAGTTAACCCTAATTGTACACTTAAATAGACAGAGCTGTGGTATTCATCTGAGCCATTATACTGAGTGCAAATACTTAATTTTTCCTCTAGCTAACGCATCCAAATCACACATAGATTCAAACACCAGAATCTACTCTAGGTTACAACCTAAACATGCTATAATCTCATCACATCCATATTATTATTTGAGAAAAGGAAAACAAGGATATGTGCCCAGTAATACAAGTGCACTGAATACGTATAAATATCATAACTTGCCTGGATGTTCATGCAAATACAAAACACGAAAAATATGTGAACAAGTAACATCAATCAAATGAAATCCAACCTTCACTTACCAACCAGTATTACAATAAACAGATACTGATATTTCTTAAATATTTACACTTCAAAATTGTAATTACAGTAGAACCATAGGCCATATGATTTCAATTAACCATTTTCACAATGTCTCAGTCATGCGGGGTAGAATTTGCCCCATCACTAATGTCATCACATTAAGCAGCCAGAGGATGCCTTTGACATCTCCTCAACCACGCTGAGAAAGTACCCTCAGTTACATTGTATATATTGGTAGGAAACATCCGTTTCTCAACAATTCATCAATTTTGATACAAAAAAAAAAACAAAACCCAGTTCCCATGGCCCTTGTCAAAAATACAAAATTAAAAAAACCTAGAAAGTGCAGAACAACTTTATATAAGACTCAATAAGCCATTCCACTGGGAAAGACCTTAACATTTTTGTCTGGTCATTTCAGATCATTGTATGAGGAACTGACTCCAGAGGGCTAGAAAGAAACAGCAAATGAGTTCAGAGTAGTTTAGAGAGGATGGAAGAAAGAACTGTACCTCATAAGCCTGAGGTTCTGCTATAACAATAGTAGTTATGTCAAACTAATATTTAATTGAATGAGTCTGTAATTTTTCCTAATGAATAAAAGGCTACAAAAATCAAAATGCCAATTAAAATAGGTCCTATTGCCAAAATTCCATATATAATGAGAAACACTCTATACTATTGTTTATTTTCATTGAGACTATATTTTGTTTATTTTAATAAAGAAAGAGCCTAATACATGGCTTCTTATTAGTACATCTGTCACCATCAGTAGAACCTGACAAATATTTCAGTAAAATACGGTAAATTTTAACTCAGTATTGTAAGCTTGCATGTTTACATGTTTCTTCAGATAAAGCCCTTTAAAATGGAAACAAAGACAGAATCTACAGCATCTTTCACTACTTCAAAAAAAAAAGTGAAGTCAGATTTTGTCACTGTCTAGATTTCTTCAAAACAGACCTTTCAAGGGGGAATTTGGAAATTGATATTTAGAAATAATAATTCTGGAATGTTTATTAAAGCGAGTGGTACTCAGATTTGAAAGGCTTATTTGTGTGTTACCCTCTTGAGAGAACTCTGGTGAGAGTCTCCAGATCTTAGTTATTGGAAAAGAAATTTACAAATGAATAAGCCTGTGCTATTTTTGAATGTTGTGTTTTTCATATTCAAATATCTCAGTTTGTGCCCAGCGTATAGAAGGATGTTTAAATCTAGACAGCCAAGATGATGCCATGTTCAAACAAAATGTAAAACCTCCTAATTCACATAACTCCCTTGTCCAAATGGCGAGGGATAGGGTGTGTGCACCAAGTTGACACTCAGATCAGATCGGGTTGGCTGTTTTCTCTTGAACACAAATGCAAACAGAAAAAAAATCTCTGCAAGCTATTTACTGTACAAGGTATCTCTACTTCTTTTTGACTAATACTGTAACTAGATATTTCTAGCGCTTTATTCTTGTAACCAACTACAACACTAGAGGTGAAACATGAAATTTGAAGAGCATTCCATACACATTTCACCTGTAACCACTAGAAAGCTGCAAAAAGTGGATTTTGATCTTTTACTCTCTTTGTGAATAAAGACTCACAAAATATTTGTCACTAAAAATATTTAACTTAAAGTTAGGAAGTTTAAGAATAGAACCTATTAAAGCAAAATAAATGTAAGAGCTGAAAATAAAGTTTGTGAAAATTACACTTCACATCCAAAGCCTTATTTGTTTAAAGCCTTTTGTCTTAAGTCTTGAAAAATTTAAATGACCACTTACATGCCTTCAACTGTGTCAAATCTAAAAAACAAAAAATACAGAAGCTTAGCATGCTTAAATTAAATGTCAAAAATAAAAGGCAATAATTTTAAAGGAAATTCAGTAAGGAATTGTAGCTATTTTTATTTATATGCTCCCCAGAAGCAAGATTTTCACTGTAAAGTGACAGATGGTTAATTAGTTAAATCTAGTTAAGCTTTGTTTTTCAATATTCTGTTAGTGAAGTACACTCAATTGATGCAGACTTAGTGTGCCAGTCTTCTGAGAATAGTTCACCAGTATTGGTAAGCAAAGAAAGCATACTTGCTTAAAATATATTTTGATATTTTAGTGACATTAGTTTACCCTCTCACAACAACATTAGTTCTATAACTACTATGGCATACATTAAAATTGAAATTTAGAATGAAATATATAATATTGCAGAAACTCCATTTAACTGGCTAGGAGGTCTCAAAAGGCTTTTTTTGGAAAAATATTATAACATGGCAAGTATTAACTCATCACACCTTCCTGCTTTATACAGATTCTTCCAGCTTTTTAAAACTATTTCACAAATTACTTCAAAGTTTGAAAATACTTTGAAAGTTTCTGAACTGAAAGAGGATCTAGGATTTCCCCCAAGACTACGATAACCAGATCAATTTAGAAGCTTTCTAGGCCCCATTTCTTATCTTGTATGTCTTCCTTTACTACTACAAATGAAAAATCCAAGAAATCATACTTAGGACACAGAAGTCCACTAAATAATGCCTGCCCACATATGGCCCACAGTTCCACAAGCAGAATGGGAATGATGCAGATAAGTTCCGCTGCATATTTACAACACAACTAGGTATTGTACCGCTGTTATGCTAGATGCAAGTGGCACAAAGGGTTGACAAGTTTAGTGGAATTCTAACCTTTACATCAGAATCATTCCATTAGCACAGAACTGACTTTAAAAAAAGCAGAAGTACATCATTTTGAAACTTATATTCCATAATGTCCCATAGACCAGGAGGGCTTACAGCATCTATGATGCTGACCTCTAGATTTCAACAGTGCAATGTTTAACATACAAGGCTCTCCCGTACCAACTACTTTAGGAAACAGCTCCCATTCCTTAAGGCAGTAATTCCCAACTTTGGATAACCCAGGTGCTCTTTGGCTGCAATTCCCAGAAGCCTTCACCACTAGACGAGGGTTCTGGAAGTTGCAGTCCAAGAACCCCTGGGTTACCCATGGTTCGGAATTATTGCTCTATGGTATGCATCAGAGCACATGTTACTGGGTCTTAGAACACAACAATCGAATAGTTTGCCAGCATCATTTGAATGTGAAATGTTCATAGCTGAAAGCCAAGTAAAGCTACAGCAACAATAAAACCAGATATAGTCAGAGAATCATGTTCCTGACAGTTCCTAAAGTAGTGTTAGGGGAGAAAATACTAATGATAGTAGAGTTTATATGTTTTGTTGAACTTTTATCTTTGTTATGTTGATTTCACAATACTGATGAGTGGGTGCAGAACAGTAGTTATTTCAGCAGAATCATAGATTATTATTTTTATGTCCACAAGGTGTAAATACATTTTTAAATGCTTAGATCCAGAAGAGAATCAAACATAGAAAATGTAGGGGTACCTACCTAGATTATAGACTTTTGGAATACATTCACATTTCAACATCTGATACCTGAGGACAGTTAGGAACTAACTCATTACAAGTCTGTTATAATGTTCAAATGATTTACTTAGGAAAAGGAAATATTACATGAACAAGGTACAACTATTTCATATCACAACTACAACAAATGGGAGAGAACATCATTCCTTTTGGGATTAATTAATTCTATTTTTACAATTACAGGGTATGAACTCATTAATTAGAGAAGGGGCAATATCCTATGATGCAAGAACTGGTTTGTGTTGTGTTCTATGGATGCTGAAGCAACAACTAGAATGAGTGGAGAATGGAAACCAGTAAAGAGAGCAGAAAGAAAAGCTAGTAAGTCAGACAGGGAAGACCAAAGAAAGGAGACAGTGGAATCTGCACTGAGACAGTGATGGACACAACTAGAGATGAGAAGCTGATGGTGTCTGTAGTGACTGGTAGGCTATGGAGCAAAGGTAGGTGAACTGAAAGCTAACATAACCAGGTGAAAATGAAGATAAGCAGGAAGGTAGTTACCCTCTCTTTCTCACACTATTACTGTGTTGACATTTTTAATTTTTCTTTTTCAACCACTCCAGGATTGGTGGTGGTTTACAGAAGTGTTTAGGAAAATATTTTTTCCTAAAATCATTATTTTAAATAAATAATTATTTCTAAAATTGTTAAGAATAGCAGTCAGTCTTGCCTTAATTTTATGAGGTGATCAAAACATTCCTGTGTGCATGTATGTGTGTGCATATTTCTTCCTCTTACATTCTATGGGTGGTGTATTCTGCATTTGCAAAGCTTCTCTTCTTGACCATGGAGACAGCTGCTGCTGCGGGGCTCTGCAAGCACAGGCAGCACTAGGAATATGACTTACAGGAAGGAAAAAAGAATTCCTAGTCCTATAATTTGGTGAGACTTCCCCCCACTGCCAAATGATGGAACTGGGAGTATTAAAATAGCAGGAGGTAGAGCAACCCCTTTACCTCCATGTCATTTCTGTGTGTCTTCTTCATGCTGAAAAGTGCCCAGTTGCACCTTTGTAAGTTGTGACCTAACATCAGATATTTTTAGTTCACCCATCAGAAGGAGCTGACAGAATGTCATTGGATTTGTTCAACATACACACACACGGAATAAGGTATTGTTTCTTGAGCTGTGCAAGAAAGTGAAATATAAAAAAAGTAAATTATTTTATCTTCCATCACCTATCCATTGACAATACATGTTCTATAAACTGGATAACAATTTCCTAATGCAAACCCAGGCACATTTTCTGTATATTTTTGATGTTGTTTAGTCCTTAAGTCACGTCTGACTCTTCGTGACCCCATGGAACACAGCACGCCAGGGCCTCCTGTCTTCCACTGCCACCCAGAGTTGGGTCAAATTCATGTTGGTAGCTTCGATGACGCTGTCCAACCACCTCATCCTCTGTCATCCCCTTCTCCTCTTGCCCTCACATTTTCCTAACATCAAGGTCTTTTCCAAGGAGTCTTCTCTTTTCATGAGATGGCCAAGTATTGGAGCCTCAGCTTCAGGATCTGTCCTTCCAGTGAGCACTCAGGGTTGATTTCCTTCAGAATGGATTGGTTTGTTCTCTTTGCAGTCCAGGGGACTCTCAAGAGTCTCCTCCAGCACCACAATTCAAAAGAATAAATTCTTCGGTGGTCAGCCTTCTTTAGGGTCCAGCTCTCACTTCCATACATCGCTACTGGAAAAACCATAGCTTTGACTATGCGGACCTTTGTCAGCAAGGTGGTATCTCTGCTTTTTAAGATGCTGTCTAGGTTTGTCATCGCTTTCCTCGCAAGAAGCAAGCGTATTTTAATTTCATGGCTGCTGTCACCATCTGCGGTGATCATGGAGACCAAGAAAGTAAAATCTGTCATTGCCTCCATATCTTCCCCTTCAATTTTTCTGGAGGTGATGGGGCCAGTGGCCATGATCTTAGTTTTTTTTTTAAGTTGAGCTTCAGACCATTTTTTGCACTCTCCTTTTTCACCCTTATTAAGAGGTTCTTTAATTCCTCCTCACTTTCTGCCATCAGAGTGGTATCATCTGCATATTGGAGGTTGTTGATATTTTTTCCGGCAGTCTTCTGGCTTGGGATTCCGCCAGTCCAGCCTTTTGCACTATGTATTCTGCATATAAGTTAAATAAGCAGGGATACAATATACAGCCTTGTCGTACTCCTTTCCCAATTTTGAACCAATCAGTTGTTCCATATCCAGTTCTAACTGTTGCTTCCTGTACCACGTATAGATTTCCCTGGGGATAGATAAGGTGGTCATGCACTCCCATTTCTTTAAGGACTTGCCATAGTTTGCTGTGGTCCACACAGACAAAGGCTTTTGCATAGTCAGTGAAGAAGTAGACGTTTTTCTGGAACTCTCTGGCTTTCTCTATAATCCAGCACATGTTAGCAATTTGGTTTCTAGTTCCTCGCCCCCCTCGAAATCCAGCTTGTACTTCTGGGAGTTCTCGGTCCACATAAAGGTGAAGCCTACCTTGTAGGATTTTGAGCATAACCTTGCTGGCGTGGGAAATGAGTGCAATTGTACGGTAGCTGGAGCATTCTTTGGCACTGCCATTCTTTTGGATTGGGATGTAGACTGATCTTTTCCAATCCTCTGGCCACTGTTGAGTTTTCCAGACCTGCTGGCATATTGAATGTTTTGACTTTTACCTCAGCCTTAATAAAATAATGTCAGGCAAAATCCAAAGGACACCCCCCAAATAAAATAAAATAAAATTAAAGACAACAACAATATGGCATCTTAACTATTATATTTTAATGTGAGCTTTTGTGGATCAAATCCATGGTGGCTTTTATTTCATTTGTATTAAATTTTTTGCTATTTTTCAAGTCCCACCTGTTTTTAAAGCAGTAGGTTTGAATGTTTTTAATAGCTCTTCTTCTCCTTTCCTCTGTTGGCTGATGAGCACAAGCTAATTAACTGAGCTATGGAAACCAACTAAAATTATGCTCTCTGAAATTGCATATACTTGGTAGGAGGGCACTGCATATCTTAACCCTCATGCATATCTGCAGTTATGGCCGATTTCAAAGGGTAAGAACATGGAAAAAGTATTTTTGCAAAACC